ACTTTTTGTTGTTGTTTTTTTGTTTTGTTTTTGTTTTTGTTTTGTTTTGTTTTTTCGAGACAGGTTTCTCTGTGGCTTTGGAGCCTGTCCTGGAACTAGCTCTGTAGACCAGGCTGGTCTTGAACTCACAGAGATCCGCCTGCCTCTGCCTCCCGAGTGCTGGGATTAAAGGTGTGCGCCACCACCGCCCGGCCCTTTTCAACTTTTCAACCCCAATATGTATCCTTAAATTTGGAAAAAAAAAAAGTATTATTCTTTTTTTTAAGACGTTTCCTTTTTTATATGCTTAATGTTTAAAACCTGCTTGTTTGTATATGCACCACATGCTTGCAGTTACCCTAAAGGCCAGAAGAGGGTGCTAGAATCTCAAATCTCCTGAAACTGGAGTTACAGACAAGATTGTGAGCCACTTGTCTATAAGTGTTGGTAACTGACTCTAGTCCTCTGCAAGAGCAGCAAGTGCTGTTATCCACTCCGAGCCATCTCTCCAGCCCCCTTGTACATCTTCTTACGCTAAATATCTGGGCAAAATAGGCTTCCAAGAAGAATGTAGCCCGGGTGCTGGAGAAATGGCTCTGTGGTTGGGAACACTGGCTGTGCCCTTAGAAGGCCTGGGTTCAATTCTTATCACCCACATGGTGGCTCACAGCTATCTGTAACTCCAGTTCCAGATGTTCCATGGCACCAGGCATGCATGTGGTACTAAGATATTTGCGTGTAGACAAAATACCCATAGTCATAAAATAAACAGTATTTTTTTTTAAAAAAAAGTACCTTTCCTGGAAGTTCTCACCCAGAGGAAGGCATAGGAAAAAGAATTACAGAGGAAAGAGAAATTTAAGCCCTGTGCCTGCCAAGACTGAGGCCATTGCTGCTTGACTCTTGTTCCTGCATGCTTGCTAAACTTCAATTCTTATATAAGTGGCTTATATTTGTGGCTTGCTATATTGGTGTATCCAGTTTGAATTCTCTTTGGGGAGCCCAAGAACAGTGGCCTGCTGGGATGGTGGGGCGCTGGGGGAAACTGAAGAACCTCTCCAAATACAGCTGTCCCGAGGACCTCTGATTCATGCTGGGCTTTATTTAAAAATCCCCTGCAGTTATTTGGGACACTAGGGAGGGTGGGCAGGTTTACATATATGAACTCCACAGTGTCCCATATGGATAACTTGGGCTTTCTCAGCTCGGAGTGAATTGCAATGCAAACACAGCTCCAAGCTCCTCTTAGCAGTCTTCTGGGGCTGCTTGAGAGAGAGAGAGAGAGAGAGAGAGAGAGAGAGAGAGAGAGAGAGAGAGAGAGAGAGAGAACCACACTGCCCTGGAGCAGTTAGCGGGGCAACAGCAGGGTTCTCTTCCCCATCTTGTTATTCGAACGCTTGTGATTTTCACCAGGCGCCCATCATCTGGAGGCATCAGGATGCTTGGGGCCCTGGTGCTCCTGCAGAAGCTGTGCTGCTAGTGGCTAAAACCAAAGCAGTCAAAGGAACAGACCCTTTGTTTATCTCAGGACAGTTTCCCACCGTCCTTCCCTGGGAGATCTAAAACCAGGCAGATAGCAGCATCCAGAGAGTGGAGAGACTGGGGCTTTGGAGAGAGGGGCTTGCTGAGGCCTGCAAGACAAAGCCTGCCCCCTGAAGTATGAGGAACTTGGCTTCCTCACGCAGGCTGATTGGAGAAGGGCCAGCTTTGACTGTCTGAGGTTTGGTCTGCTGCTGGAGTGGACACCAGGGGACGCCAGCGACCTCCCCATAAAATACTGTCGTGCCCATTGCAAAACAGTTGGACTGTTGTTTCCCGGTGAAGTGCTCCCCACTGCCACACTCTGCTTTGCTATTGCAGGTTTGCATCGGGTCACCTTTCTCCTTTGCTTCTGTGTGTCTGAGAGTTTTAACTTCTAGCATCCACCACCTTCAGTCCTTAGAGTCAGGATATGCAGTCAGAAGAGAAGTGTCCCTCAGAACCAGTACTGAGTTCCTAAACACCCATTTGCAGCAAGCAGAATCAGCGTGTCTGTTCTGGACGATGATGGAGAGCTGGCAGCTAGATCCAGAGGAGCATTTGAGTAGAGTTCCCATCCGTCCACAGGAACGGTGGGCAGCAGTTTGCGGGAAGAATGGGGGGGGGGGGCGTGTTCTGTTGGGGGGGTATGGGTTGGCCTTCTGAGGAACGTGAGGGAGGGGTTTTCCGCTCCCTTCTATCTGAAAGATGCAGCAAGCGAACTGAGGCTGACTTCCTAAATCTATGACAGCCCAGCTCCTCACTGCAGAGAACTGAGGCTGACTTCCTAAGTCTATGACAGCCCAGCTCCTCACTGCAGAGGAGGAGGGGCTGCTGCACTGTAGTGGGCATGTCCTATTTTTTTGTTTGTTTGTTTGTTTTTCAAGATGGCATTTCTCTGAGTAGCTCTGGCTGTCTTGGAACTCACTCTGTAGACCAGGCTGGTCTCGAACTCACAGAGATCCGCCTGCTCTTGCCTCCCGAGTGCTGGCATTAAAGGTGTGTACTACCACTGCCCGGCCTGGCATGTTCTTAAAATAGCGCAAGAAAATTAGCCATATTTCTGGTCCCATATGTTATGATAGGGACAGATTTTAGGCCTGGTTGGTGGGAAGGTATAAGGTAGGGTTAAAGCCAAGAGTAGTAATCTTTAAAACAGCTAAGACCCCCAAACCAACTCAGATGACTCATGTACATTCTTTCTCCTCCTCCTTCCTCCTCCTTCTTGTTTGTTTTTTAAGACAGGGTTTCTCTGTGTGGCAGCCCTGACAACTAGACTGGCCTTGAACTCAGAGATCCTCCTGCCTCTGCCTCCGGAGTGCTGGAATTAAAGGTTTGCACCACCACACCCAGCAAGGCAGCTAGCTATCCTACAGTCGCTTTAAATAACATTTGTGGGAACTTCTAAATGGGGCTCTGATGCAGCTAGCAAAGCTGTGGCTGAGGAGCTACGCAGCAGCTTTCGGCAGTCACGTGACATGATTTTTATGTGCCCTGCTTTTATTTCATGTTTTGAGTGTTTGATCACATGTATGCTTGGTACCCGAAGAGGCTAGAAATGGTCTTGGTTCCCCTAGAACTGGAGTTGCAGACAGTGTGAGACACCATGAGAGAGCTGGGACCTAAATCCTGGTCTGCAAAGAAAGCACCGAGTGCTTAATCTCTGGGCCAGCCTTCTGGCCCCACACGTGCTGCGAACTTTGATTTGACTACAGTCACGTTCTTCCTCAAAAGCATTGAGGCTACAGAAACAGCTCAGCAGAATGGTGTTTATCCAGTGTGTGCAGGGCCCAGAGTTTGACTGTCAAGGACAAAAATAAATATTTTATTTATTTTAGTTTTTTGAGACAGGGTCTCTCTGTGTAGCCCTGGCTGCCCTGGAACTTGCTAAGGAGACCAGGCCGGCCTTGAACTCCAGAGAGATTTCCCTACCTCTGCCTCTTGAGTACTGGGATTAAAGGTGTGCACCACCATACCCACCTTAAGAAAATATTTTTAAAATTACATTTTGTTGGGATCACTGGCCCCTTGGCTTTCTTTGCCTACAGCTGCTCTGAGCACGAGACCTTGATGGCAGACTGAGGAAACCTACAGCTGAGAGATCCCGAGAGCTGGGCATGGCTAAGGATCCCTACAGAAGCTTCCCTGCGCACAATAAACTAGTTGGGCATTGGCATTCTCTGTCTGTTTTTAAGTCTCCAGCTTAGTTCCCGCCTCGTCTTGTCGTGGCACGGGCACTATAGGACAGGAACAGGACCTTCGGCTTTTACAACATTTATTTGTGAGATCTCACAAGATGAAAATGATAATGGTGATAATGGTAAATCCAAATAAAACCTTTCTTCTAAGAGAGAGACAGAGACAGTGAGACAGAGATAGAGAGAGGGAGAGAAAGGGAGAGACAGATAAAGGAGAGAGACAGAGGGAGAGAGACAGAGAGAGAATATGCTATAATAGGGAATAGATGAGATTAATTTATTTAACAAGTTGCAGCTGGGTGATGGTGGTACAAACCTTTAATCCCAGCACTTGGGAGAGAGAGGCAGGTGGATCTCTGTGAAATCAAGGCCAGCCTGGTCCACAAAGCAAATTCCAGGACAACCAGAGCTCTACAGAGAAACCCTGTCTCAAAAAACAAAAAAACAAACTAAATGCCGGGCGGGTGGCAGGCACACGCCTACATGCCCAGGGCTTGGTGGTGAAGGCACGAGGACGTAGTACAGAGTTAGAGTTATCCTTGGCTGCACAGGGATTGCAGTTTGAGGCCAGCCTGTGGTACAGATGTAGTCTCAGGGAAAGAAATGTTAATAATAAAATAAATAAAAAGTACACGGATCCAGGACTTGGATGTGGCTCATTGATAGAACACTTGCCTTGCGTATGTAAGGTTTGATCCGTGTCACTGCCAAAATAAAGAAACCTGCTCTCAGTTAGCATGCACGGGGCCAGGCCTTGTGCTAGGCTCTCTGCTCCATGGCCTTAGATAACCACTAGCCGCCCAGGAGACTGGACTATGATTATGCTACTTTAGAGAGGAAACCGAGTGCAGGACAAGGACTCCTCCGCTGACCCATGGGACGCCAAGTCTTTCTGAGGCAGGGTCTCACCATGTAGCCCTGGCTGGCTCAGAGCTCACTGTGTAGTCCAGGCTGGCCTTGAATTCTTAGAGATCTGTCTGCCTCCATCTCCTGAGTGCTGGGATTAAAGTTCTATGCACCATCATGCCCGGCCAAGTCTTGGGTCTGTAAGACTTTAAGACAATCCTGAAGCCATTTCTGACAATTCTGAATCCTCTCAGCCTCTGTGCCATAGTGCTTCCCCTCCTCCCCTGGGAACCAAGGACCTAACAGCTACACTCGCACGTACTCAGTTCCTGAACAATTACCCATATACGTATGCTTTGATTTGGTCCCCTGGGAGACGGGGTCAAAATGACCTCTTACCTCATCTGATCTGGCAACAGCTCTCCAGTCAATTATTGGTAAAGAACAACCCCCTTGCTTCTGTAGCCCCTTTAAAAGTAGACTGTACCTGCTATTCGAGGTCCCTTGGCTTCCCGAATGCTGGGGGACCCTGTCATGACAGAATTAATAAAAATCCTCATGCTTTTGCATCGGCTGTGGTGTGTGGTCTCTGGGGGCGACTCCTTCTCGGTGTTTGGACGCCAGAGTCCAACAGGTCTTAACCAATGTTTTCCTCCGCCTCCTAATGTCAGGCTGCTGAGTTACAGCTCATGGGAGTGGGGCTCTCCCATCAGGAAACAAGTGTGAGGAGTTGGAGGTTGGCCTGTGAGGGGCAGATCTTCCTCACGAGATGCAGAGTCTCGGGATGTGTCCCCGGGAAGAATCTGGCTGGTCATGTAATGGCTATGTCCTTCCTTCGCTAGACCACACGCACCGTCCCAGGTTCCCATCTGCAAAACAAGGAGGTTCTTGAGCTGAGAGGCCAAGTTCTCCAACCAGATCCCTACTACTCAGAACAGTTCTCCTGGGACTGGAAGAACACCTGCCTACACAGCATGGCTAAGACTGCGGGCTCGATCCCAGCACCACGAAGAGGGAGAGGACCAAACAACCAAACTCACTTAATCCAGAGACCTGGACGAAGTACACATGGAAAGTCACACACACTGATATGTCCAAGTATTAACAAACTAATACTCGTGAGCCAGCCAGGGACTCACTATATAGAACAGGCTGGCCTCACCCAGATCTGCCTGTCTCTGTGTCCTGAGTGCTGGGATTAAAGTGTATCCTCTAAGTAGGGCGTGCCAGTATTTTGTTCCTGTTACATGGCTTTGCCACATTTAGTTCATCCATTCCCGGTTGATGGACAACGCTCTTGCAGGCCAAGGTATGGATACCCATGCTGTACAAGGAAACAAAAAAAAAAACCAAACCAGGGGCTGCAGAGATGGCTCAGCGGTTGGGAGAACTGGCTGTTTGCCTAGAGGACCTGAGTTCAATTCCCAGCACCCACATGGCAGCTCACAACTGTTTGTAACTCCAAGGTCTGACACCCTCACATAGACACACATCCACACCAATACACATAAAATAAAAATAAATATTTTAGCCGGGCAGTGGTAGTGCACGCCTTTAATCCTAGTATTTGGAAGGCGGAGGCAGATGGATCACGGATCACTGTGACTTCGAGTACAGCCTGGTCTACAGATCTAGTTCCAGGACAGGCTCCAGAATTAGAGAAACCTTGTCACGAAAA